AGGGTTTTCATTCTTATCTCTTCTCAAGGCTTGCTTCCCCATTTGACAACTGAGGGATTCGTTCAAAAGGAAATATCATATATGTCTCTTCACGGTAAATCTGCTGGGCTAAGATGTGTTTGAGGGATTCTAAATTTTGATACAATGAAGTGGAATCTGAATTTACTGTTTTGTTTAGTTTTGTTTTGTTTTTCAAGACAGTTTCTCTGTGTGTAGCCTTGGCTATCCTGGAGCTTGCTCTGTAGACCATGCTGGCCTCAAACTCACAGAATCTGTCTGCCACTGCTTCCTGAGTGCTGGGGTTAAAGGTGTGAGCAAACATTGCCTGGCAAATTTATTTATTTTTTGAGACAAATTTTCACTCTATCTAGTTCAGGTAGGCCTGGATGCTTTATAGTTCAGATTGACCTTAAACTCAGTCCTTATCCAGAGTGTTGGGATTATAAGCATAAGCCACCATACCTGGCTCCTACTTGTCATTACTATGGTAGAGGGACATGTTGGACATCTATAAGGACACTGCTCTGGGAAGGATGGCTGTGCCAAACTATTCTAACTTCAGAATAAGACTGCTTTGCTTCCAAGTAGGTTGAGCTCAGAGTAAGGCCCCTGCTGATTTTGACAGAACCAGAAAGAGTTAACCTTAACAAGCTCTGGCTGCAGTCTATCCTGATACCCCTGTAAAGAAAATTAATCTTTAATAATCAGGCTCAGATACCAGAAATTTTACACAATGAGCATATACACAGATACACACACAATGTGCAGACGCCACACACTCACACATTCACACACTATGACAAATGCTTGCCTTGTTCAGTTCCTAAAACAGATACCTACTCTGTAAAACTTATTCCTTGACAAAATAATGGTATGTTCATCTAATAATCCCCATAAAAGTGTACAGGGGAATGCCACCCAATAAGATGTAAACAACAGAGCTCCTCTGACATTGAAACAACATCTGACAGCCCTCGCAGAAATGTCTCTGCAAAGTTTCTACTCTCTCGTCCTCTGAGGATGTACCACAGTGTATTCAATAAATTTTCTGCTTTTGTTTCTCTCTTGGTGAGTTCGTTCTCAGCTGGCATGTCACTGGCCTATCAGCACCAGCCCTGATAGGCCAGTGGCAATTTGGTTCATGAAAATGTAACTTATTTCAGAAAGTAGGTGGGAAATAATGGGTAGAAGGGATGGACTGATTCCGAAAGGGAACAGAGATGAAGTAGAGGAGACAGGTGGGGAAAAGACAAGCGCCAGACCCAGACAACCCTGAATCTAGTCAATGTCTGCCAAGGAAAAGATAACCTAAAAGTAAAATTCAATTCATATTGACAGGGATATTTCAAATCTGTAATTTGTGGGTTTTTTTTTCTTTTTGAGATAGAATTTCTCTGTGTAGCTGTGCTGTCCTGGAACTCGCTCTGTAGATCAGGTTGGCCTCCAACTCAAAGATTCCCTTTTTCCGCCTCACAAGTACTGGGATTAAAGGTGTGCACCACCACTATTAGGCTTCAAATCTATAAATTAAGAGCTATATAATGTAGGACTAATTATAAATAGCTTTAATCTCATTCAGTCTAATTTGTAAAATGTATCACGAATCTCTTGCTTTGCAAGCATCTGACTTGCTGGTGACATTTGTACCTTACTCAGATTGTGGTTGCATTGGAAAAAAAAAACACGAACCTGTACATTTCTGTACCTATGCTATATCACACTATCAAAAGACTTATAAGAAATCAAATTAGGGCTGGAGAGATAGTGGTTAAAAGCTTAGTGATTCAGAGCACTGACTACTCTTCCAGAGGCCCAGGATTCGATTCCCAACAGCCACATGCCAACCCACAACCATCTAAAACTCCAGTTCCAGGGGATCTGATACACTCTTCTGATTTCTCTGGTTACCAGGTAGGCATATGGTGCACAGACATACATGCAGGCAAACATCTTTACACATAAAACAATAAAAAAATTGAAAAAGCAATAAAATAACCATGTCTGTAGTCTCAAACCAGAGAGGCTGAAGCAGGTTTTCTTGAACACAGGTATTGCAGGCTAGCCTAGACAATGTGGATAACTAGCTTCCCTCTCTTTGCTAATACAATGTTGTCAAGGCTGGCCTTAAACTTACAAAATGATCTTCCCAGCATTTCCAGGCATATGCCATCATACCACTTTTTGAGACAGAGCTATAGAGTTTCCCTTTGTAGTCCAGGCTGGAACTTACTATTTAGCCCAAACTGCCGTTAAACTTGATATTGAACCTCTTGCCTTAACCTCCTAAATTATGGGATCATGGTGTGTGTGTGTGTGTGTGTGTGTGTGAAGGATTTTACATCAGGCATACTGGCTTACCCCTGTAATCCTAGGACTGGTCAGTAGTTCAAAGCTGTTAGGGGAGTTTCAGGCTCATATGGGGTCTGGGTTACACAAAACTGTCTCCAAAAGAGCAGAGGGAAACCTGGAGAGATGGCTTAGCAATTAAGACACTCGCCACTCTTGCAGTGACCCAAGGTTCCATTCTCAGCACCCACATAACAGCTCACAACTATCAGTAACCCAGTTCAGGGGATCTGACACCCTTCTTGTTGAGAGCCAGATTGACAGAGGCTTTTCCTGAGGCCCTGATGTATGGAGAAGGAACACAGCTCTTCTGAAAGCCAGGAACGTGCTTGGCAAGGTGAGTAATGGCCTGAAGCCAGGGCCTTGGGGGAGCTGCAGCTTCAGATCCTGAGATCCAACTCCATCATATGAGACTATGATTATAAGTCTGAAGGCTTCAGTGTGCTTAGTCTGTAATGTTTTTGAGATATCCCGTGATCTCCTTATGCAACATTGTTTGTTTAGCTTCCCTCTGACGTAGTACCATCGTATGATAATTTTTGCTGACTGTGTCTCATCTCTCCCCTGAAAACTGTATATAAGATGCTGTATTTCCTAATAGGCTTGCTTGGCATAAGATATAGCTTTTACAAGACCTCCCCACCTGAAACTTGTCTTCCTCCTTATCTGCCTATCTCCTGGTCCTCTCTCTCAGGACTCATCCCTGTTGATCCAGGTCACTTCTGACCTCTCAGGCTTCTGCATGGATGTGAAATACAGACATACACTAAGGCACAAACACATACACAAAAAAATATTTTTTTGAGACAGGGTTTCTTTGTGTAACCCTGGCTCTTCTTGCACTCACTCAGTAGACCAGGCTGGCCTCAGATTCAGAAATCTCCCTGCTTTGGTCTCTTGAATGTTGGGATTAAAGGCATGTACCATCATTACCTGGCAATCAATTATTTTACTATTATTATTATTATGTTTTTTTTGAAACAGGGTTTCTCTGTATAGTCCTGGTTGTCCTAAAACTTGACTTTTAGTCCAGTCTGGCCTTGAACTCTCAGAGATCTGCCTGCCTCTGTCTCCCAAGGGTTGGGATTAAAAGTGTGCACTACCACACCCAGTATGATTTTTAAAAAAATAGTTTACTTATTTTTTATGTGCATTTGTATTTTGCCTGCATACATATCTGTGTGAGGGTGTCAGATCTTTGAATTATAGACAGTTGTGAGCTGCAATGTGGGTACTGGGAATTGAATCCAGGTCCTCTGGAAGAGCAGCCAGTGTTCTTAACCACTGAGCCATTTCTCTTGTCCCAATGAAATAATTTGTTTTTTTTTGTGTTTTTTGTTTGTTTGTTTGTTTGTTTTGTTTGTTTTTTGAGACAGGATTTCTCTATATAGCCCTGGCTGTCCTGGAACTAGCTTTTGTAGACCAGGTTGACCTCAAACTCACAGAGATCAACCTGCCTCTGCCTTCCAAGTGCTGGAAATAATTTGTTTTAAATAGAAAGGAAAAGGTCTGGGTGTGGTGGTGCATGTCTTTAATCTCAGCACTTAGGAGTCAGAGCTCGGCAGATCTCTGTGATTTGGAAGTTAGCCTGGTTTATATAGTGAGTTCCAGGACAGCCAGAGCCACATAGTGAGACCCTGTTTCACAAACAACATCAAAAAAACCCCCCAAATCCAACAAACATAAATCAATCCCCTAGCAAATAAAATGCCTAGAGTTGTATATCATGATTCAATGAAATTCTATTTATGAATTATTTTTATTTATCTGTATGTGTGTCACCTGCATGCAGGTGTTCATGGAGGCCAGAAGCGTGTTAAATCCCCTAGAGCTGGAGTTACAGACCGTTGTGAGACTCCTGACATGAGTGCTGGGAACTGAACTTGGGTTTTCCGAAAAAGCGGCAAGAGTTCTACACCCTCCCCGTACCCTTGGCCATCTCTCCAGTTCCAAGTATTTCCATTTAGATAGGGAATCATGAGTCTCAGGCTGGCCTCAAACTCACTGTGTAGGAAGCAAAAAACTTTGAACCTTCTGATTCTGCTCACCTCCATTCCCCGGCATGGCAGAGGATGGCTTCTTTGCATTCCTAATTTTTTTTTTTTTAAACAAGGTCTTATGTATCCCAGGTTGGCCTCAAATTCATTAGGTAGGTAGGAGAGGATGGCCTTGAAGTCTTAATCTTCCTGCCCTCACCTCCCGAGAGACCAGACGGAAGTACGTGCCACCATGCAGAGCTGAGGTTTGAACCCAGGGACTCTTTATCAACTGAACTACATTCTCAGCAACTTAAACTTCTGATCCTCCTTGCCTCCACCTCCCAAGTGCTGGGATCAACAACCAATTTTATGCAGTGCTGGGATTTGAACCCAGGACTTTATACTAAGCAAGCACTGTAGTAATTTAGTTACATCCCCAGCGCATATTTACTAAGTCTTTAGCACAGTGCTAGTGCAAGTATTGACTGGGAGATCAATAACTTTCTAGAATGCCGTCTGCAGAGGCCAGATTGTCAGTGTTCTGGTCAAACTTTGTGTTTAGGCGGCTCTGAGAAGCCGGCCAACCCTCGGAGGAATGTGAGGCCCGAATAATCCACCAGGTACCACAGAGGCGCTTATTCTACAGGAAGTACAGGAATCCAGGCCTAGAGAGGTGCCTGCGCAGTGCATTGTGGGACGGTTGGAGGCGCGGCCAGCGCCCAGGACCGTCCACGTCGCCTGTGCGCATGCACAGTTTGAGGACCCCGGCCCGTCCAGGAGCTCGCTTTCGAGTCGAGTGAGCGCTTTCCAGGGGAGGGATGTGCAAAGTCCCTGCTCTGGCTTCTACCCCCTCTTCTTCGCAGGACAGCGGGGGTCTACTCCGTCCTGCGCGTGATTCTGGAAACCGGGGCCTTGCTCCTCCTTGGGGTGGGGCTTCCTCTTCACTTCCAGACTTAAGCAGAGGCCTGCCGGCTCAGTACTGGAGTGCTGAGCTCAATTCTAGCCACATTGTCTTCTCCACAGCCTGCGCTCACTGCCAAGGTGAGTTCTACCTACTGCTGGCCCCTTCCCTTCCTCCCCCAAGTCCCCTTCCCTCAAGGAAGAAGCTGGGCCTTTCCGTGCCGCGGCTTCCGCCCCGGGCTTGAGCGGAGAGCGTCGACGTTTAGACAATGAGGTTTCGTTGCGGATTTGAGCTCTTCCTCCTATTCTGTGTGTTCTCAGATAACGTCTTGTTTCTCTCAACCTCTGTTTCCCTAGAGGTGGAATGAGCAGGAGCATGGGTACTATAGCGAGAACTGGGGTAAACCTTTGAATTTGTAAATTTTAGTTGCCCCCTCTCGGTTTTCTCATCTGCACGACATTTCTGGAGTCTCGGCCATTCCTAATGGAGATGCAGGCATGTTTCTAGCAAGTGGCGGAAATGGGAGCGAGAAATTAGCTTGATTAAGCCATCGCCTTAGGTTTGAGAAAACTTGGACGTTATATATCCTGTTGCTGCGTAGCTTTTTTTTAAAGTGAAAATACATCCTGTTGCTGCGTAGCTTTTTTTAAAGTGAAAATACCCGAACCTTCACATCATCGAGGCTACTACTAATGGACTCTACCATTTAGACTGTACATAGTCAGCACTGCAGGATCTCCCTATGTTCTGATCAGGCCTGTTCCTTTTCCAAGGTTCCACTTTTTCCATTTGTAATACAGGTTTAATTTCAGCATGATCCTTTCTGGCACGGTGAAATTGTTTATTATTTATATGTATTTTTTTTCAGAGTCTCAAGAATGTTTTCTAAAGATTGATTTATTTTATGCCTATTAATGTTTTGTCTGTATTTATGTATGCTCCATGTGGGTCCCTCGTGCCCATGGAGGTCAGAAGGAGGCAATGGATCCCCTGAAACAGAAGTTATTGAGGGTTGATAGCTGATATTTGGGTTCTGGGAATCAAACCCAGGTGGTCTGTGAGAGAAACAAGAGTTAAGCAGCCTAGCCATCTCTCCAACCCCCAAGACAGGGTTTCTTGTATCTTAGTCTTGCCTTGAACTTGTGATACATAGCCGAAGTTGACCTTGGCTCCCTGGTCTTAATGCCTCCTCCACCTTGTGATTGCTGGAATTGTTGGAGTTTGTCACCTTTATGAAGTGCTGGGGATCAAACCCCAGGACAAGCACTTTACCAGCCAAACTACACCTCCAGCCCAGAACTTTTTTTTTTTTTTTCAAATACTTGCCAGATTAGTAAAATACTAGCAGGTGGATGGGCGGTGGTTGTACAATACAGCTTTAATCCCAATACTCAGGAGGTAGAGGCAGGCCGATCTCTGTGAGTTTGAGACCAGCCTGGTCTGCAAATCGAGTTTTAATATAGCAGGGCTATACAGAGAAACCCTGTTTCAAAATTAAAAAAAAAACCAACAAAAAACAAAACAAAACCCATGGGTATAGTTTAGCGGTAGAATTGTAGAATTTATCCGTGTAAGACCTTGAGTTCATTCTCTACACACACACACACACACACACACACACACGACTTCTGTTTTGTTTTTCCAAGAAGAAATGAAAATGATGGACTTAGTGATTTCCTTAGATGCCTCTCCAGTAAGCTGAGCTGTCTAGCTTGCATGGCGTGGTTTCTCATGCCTATAAAAACAGCACTTTGAATGAAAATCAGAACTCAGGGTCATTCTTGTCTACAGAGAATTTAAGACTATCCTGGGCTACTTGAGGTTGCATCTGGAAAAACCAAACTAAATCCAAAAGAAAAGCCCCAGTGTTCAAGATCTCTCCTCCATTAACTGTGTACATGGTAAGGGATTCAGATAAATGGCCCAGGTCGGGAGACACCTCAGTGTGGACAAAAAGATGCAGTGAGATGTACAATCCATAAGTACACACACATTGTCTCTTTCTCTTTTCTCTCACAACAATCGTGCAAAGGTGATGAGAAGTTTCAGGGGTGCTAGGTCAATGGTGAGTAACAGCTAGGCAAGTGTGAAGTTTGGGGAAAGAGTGCAGAGGCCAGGACAGAGTCTGAAATGAAGAGTTGGGGGAATGAGGAATGTGGGAGCCAGTTTTCAAGGACTCTGGACTTTAGTCTGGGGAGAATTGCTGAACAGTATGAGCTAAGGACTCACGTGATTGGATTGGGTTTATGGATTTTGAACAAGTCCAAATTAAAAGTAGTGCCCGGTTTAGGCAAGGGAAGGTAGTGGTCACAACTAGGGCAGGGACAGTGGTGGCTGGTGTAAATACACTAGGAAAGAATTCATTCAGGAAATGTATATATTTATTTTATATTTATTTTTGGTGTTTTTGAGACAGGGCCTTAGTATGTTACGTGAACTTGTGGAATCATTTTGCCTTTTGTAGGCTCAGATGTGCACGTGCACACCTAGGAAGTTTGTCACCTGCACACCTAACTCAGGAAGTATATATTTTTAGAGAGTTAGAGATTTTGGGCTTGTTTTTTTTTTATTTATTATTATTATTATTATTATTATTATTATTATTATTATTATTTTTGTGTGTCAGTCCATGCCCCTCGTCTGCCTTACCAGCTTCTAACAGGATTTTTTTGTTTGTTTTTCAAGACAGGGTTTCTTTGTTGTCTGCCCTTGGACTCACTCTCTAGACCAGGCTGGCCTTGAACTCAGAGATCTGCCTCTTCCCTCCCCCTCCCCCCAAGTGCTGTGATTAAAGGCATGTGCTGCCAGGCAGTGACCTAATAGAATGCTGCAAATAGAACAAATCTGGATCGATATTACTTACTTAGGATGATTTCCAAGGAGGATTCTTAGATGTGCAGGAGAAGATAAAGCCCCCTTAAATGACTCTAAAAAATTTATTTATTTATTTATTTGGTTTTTCGAGACAGGGTTTCTCTGTAGCTTTAGAATCTGTCCTGGAACTAGCTCTTGTAGACCAGGCTGGCCTCAAACTCAGAAAGATCCGCCTGCCTCTGCCTCTCGAGTACTGGGATTAAACGCGCGTGCCACCACCGCCCGGCTATTTTATTTTTAAAAATACCTTGTTATTGCTCTATGAGTGGGTGTGGAGGTTAGAGGGTAACTTTAGGTAACTTCTACTATGGATGGATACCGAGGATTGAACTCAGATTGTTGGGCTTGCACATTAAATAACCTTTTTGTTGTTTGTTTGTTTTTGAGACAGACTTTCTCTGTGTAACAGCTCCAGCTGTCCTGGAACTGACTCTGTAGACTAGGCTGGCCTCGAACTCACAGAAATCCACCTGTCTCTGCCTCCTGAGTGCTGGGATTAAAGGCATGTGCCACTATTGCCTGGCAGATAACTTTTTAAAGAGTTACATAAATAATACTGTGAACATGTTGTTTGGCTTGTTTTATTCCTTGCTATCTCTGGCTTTGGGTCTTTGGTGAGTTAGAGTATACAGAAAGAAGAGAATGAGTAAGCATTGTGCATGCTGCTTTAGATGTAGTATCTCTTGACATAGTGGAGCGAGATTCAAACCCAGGCTTGTGCAACTCTAGATCCTGAACTGTTCTGCATCCCCAGGCACCTGTGAATCATGCAGGCAGAAAGGCCCAGAAGTAACACACTCAACTGGTGTAGGGAAAGTCGGACTTTTAGATGGTCACAGAAATCACAAATTTGACCAAAGAAAGAGGATGGGGACAAAGTCAAAGGACACTGGCATTGGGGGACGCAGGGGAAACATCCTCAGAGTCGGGAAACACTTTCTGTCTTGTCAACAACTCTACTAGGCTATTCTAGAAAGCTGTTTGTGCCTAAAGCAGACTGCTGGAAAATCACAGGCCAGTGGAGGGTTACTTCTGTCCTGATGGAAATCTGTCTTCTGCCGTGGCCCTTCAGTCCCCTTCTCGGAAGTTCTTGTTCTTTACGGATCTTTGTTCTTCTGCCCTTTATTCCACTCCTTTGGTGCAGAAAGAATGAAGAAGCAAGATTAAGGTTTCTTCCATGTTCCCGGTAAGCTAAGGCTTTGTTCAGTCTCCACCCTTGTAATTTCAGAGCCTTCTCACGTGGTGGGAGAAACCTGGGGAAAGTAAACAGGTTATTGTTTAATGTGAAGCCCCTGCAGGAACTTAGCCATAGAGCCGCTTGCTTGATCCCTAGGAAGTCCATGGTTACGAAGATCATTGCACTCGACAGTTTGGCTTGCTGCCTGGATTGACAGGTTTTGTTGTCGGTTTAGCAGAAAGAATGGCTTTTATATTCAGGTTTTACTAGGTTATAAAATTCTTTCAGCCAGATACTAGGAAAGACAATTTTGGTGTGTCTGTTTGCTCACAACTTGTATTATTACCTGCCTTCCATGCATCTTTCAAAATTTGGGAACAAAGTTCATATTTCTAAAGATGTTACTGACAGGTACTGCTGAGATCAAGGGGAAAGGTTATTTCTACTTCATTGGAGTAAATATTCCCTCTCCCTTCTCTTTTTGATAACTCCTGTTCACTCTCCTCACTGAGCACCGAATTCAGGGTCCCAAGCATGTTAGGTCTGTATTCCACCACTGAGGTGTTGTTAATTCTGAAAATGTGAGGCGAAAGACCATCAAACCAAATCACCATGGCCAAATTAATTATAGCAATCAATTAATTTATATTTTAATTAATTTATATACTAATAATTTATTTGTATACACAGGCTACCTCCCCCTAAGGTGAAGTTCAAGAGATCAACATTGGATGTGGGGAAGATAAGATTTTTATAGCTCAGGGGTAAGGGGTTTCAGATGGGGGATTTGGCAGGGAAATCGGTGGGGTTTCAGAAACAGAACATAACCAGGTAGTTATAACAGCCTTTTGAAATAAAGACATGGTTGCCATTTCCTGTAATAGGCAGTACAGTACCATCTGTAGGTGAGGTGGGGCATAGCCCAGTCCTGAGGAACAGAATTAATTATGAACAGGAGCGAATCTATTTTGTCTTTACTGTAAGGTGACTTTCAAATCTAAGGAGGCAGTGGTTGGTTTATCATTTTGTCCCCAGACTCTTTTTCCTTTTTTTTTTAAATAATTTATTTTTATTTTATTTGCCTTGGTATTTTGCCTTCCTGTGTGTCTGTGTGAATGTGTCAGATCTTGGAGTTACAGACAGTTGTGAGCTGCCTTGTAGGTTCTGGGAATTGAACCCCGGTCCTCTGGAAGAGCAGTCAATACTCTTAACTGCTGAACTTGCAATCCTCCTTCCTCATCCTCCAAATGGCTAAGATTACAGATTTGCTCCACCTGTTTACTTGTTTTGTTTGAAGCAGGGTCTCTCTATGTTGACCATGCCTGGCCTCAAACTCAGAGATTCTCCTTCCTCTCCTCCTGAGTACTGGGACTAACCACACCTATTCTTTTTTCTTTGCAAGCAGGGTCTCCTGTGGCCCAAGCTGGCTTCAGATTCAATATGTAGTGGGGGATGCATATAAATCAACTCCTGATCCTCCTGCCCCTACCTCCCAAATGTTTGGGTTACAGGCTTGCTCTGCTTTGCTTGACTTCACTTGCCTCAGCTGGGCTTCAGTATCACCTCCAGTCCTAGGTGGGTCAGTCTTTGCCGCTATCCATGTGTAGCCTTTGTGCAGAATTTGGCCAAAGTTCATCACACTGTAATGCTATCTGATTCTCCCACCAGGCCATAATGACAAGGGTGTTAGGAAGCCTGTTTAAATGTGTTCCTGCGTTGAATATCCACATTGGCTGACTGAACAGTTTTGTGTTATTTGACTTTGACCTTTTTTTTCTCATTTATTTGTTTATTTATTTATTTATAGTCTCACTGTGTTTCTAGTTGTACTGTAACTCACTATGTAGATCAGACTGACATCAAACTCAGATCCTTCTGCCTCAGCTTCCCAAGCACTGGGATCAAAGGCCTGCGCCACCACAACCAGCCTTTTCTCTCTCTTCGTAGATGAGGTCTCGTATAACCCATGTTGGCCTCCCGCTTTGTAGCAAAGGATAACCTTGAATTTCTCAGCCCTTTGCTTTTACCCCAGAGTACCGGGATTACAAATTTATACAACTATGGTTTATATGGCCCTGGGAGCTACACTCCCAGCTTGTGGACACATGCACTAATCTAATTGCCTGGTTTTGATCTGTTGAAAATTCTTAGATTTATGCTTCACTACTTTTGTGCTCTGTTGAAGTTGTTTGTTTATAGTTTCTTCTTGTAGGAAAGACTTTTTGCCTTTGACTCTTGAGAAAGACTAGCACATTTCTCTGTTTTTTTGTTTTTTGTTTTTGTTTTTTTGTGGTAAACATAGGATCCTGAGCAGCCAGGTATGCACTTTTATCATAGGGCTATAGTTTTAGCCCCTTTCAATTTTTTTTTTTTTAAGATTTATTTTGGGGCTGGAGACATGGCTCAGCCCTTAGGAACACTGCCTGCTTTTCCAGAGATCCTGAGTTCAATTCCCAGCAACCACATGGTAGCTCACAACCACCTGTTAAGATCTGGTGCCCTCTTCTGGCCTGCAGGCACACATGCAGACAGAACATTGTATACATAATGAATAAATAAATCTTTTAAAAATAGAGAGATTTATTTACCAGCTTGGTCTGCAAAGTGAGTTTCAGGACAGCCTGAGAGAGAGAGATTTATTGATTAATTTTATTTTTTATTTTATGTATGTATGTATGGTATGTATGTATGTATTTATTTATTTATTTTTGGTTTTTTGAGACAGGGTTTCTTTGTAGCTTTGTAGTTTGTCCTGGAACTAGCTCTTGTAGACCAGGCTGGCCTCGAACTCAGAGATCCTCCTGCCTCTGCCTCCCGAGTGCTGGGATTAAAGGTGTTATTTTATTTATTATTATTATTTTATTTTTGAGACAAGTTTTCTCTGTGTAACACCCCTAGCTGTCATGGAACTAGCTCTTGTAGACCAGGCTTATTGATTGATTTTGTATACGTGTTTGTGTTAAACACATATATAAAATATGCTTACAAATGTGAATGGAGGTGACATCATGCCTGGCTCCCCCTCCCTCCCCCCCACAGGGTCTCTCTGGTTGTCCTGAAACTCACTCTGTAGACCAGGCTGGCTTTGAACTCATGGAGATCCACCTGCCTCTGCCTTCCAGATACTGGGATTAAAGGTGTGCACCGCCCACCCTGGCCATACCTGGCTTTTATGTGGTGCTAGGCTTGAATTATGGTTCTCGTGTTTGAGTGGCAAGTACTTCACGAACTGAGTCATCTCTCCAGCTTCCCCTTTTCAGTTTTATTTTGAGACAGAGTCTTGCCAGGTCTCTCAGTCTGGTCTTGAACTCACAGTGATCCTGCTGTCTCAGTTTCTTTAATTCGGAGATTACATGAGCACATTCATTTTGTTGTTGTTATTCCATTTATTTGCATGAGTGTCGGGGGACCACTTGTGGGGTCAGCTGGGGTCAGCATTCCTCCACTGCCATGTGAGTCCTTGAGATCAAACTTGGTTATCAGGTCATTTATCCACTCAACTCTCCAGTATATTCTGGGTTTTTTTGTTTGTTTGTTTGTTTTGGGGTGTTTTTTTTTTGTTTTTTTTTGTTTGTTTATTTGTTTTTTGAGACAAGGTCTTGCTGTAGTTTTAGAGCCTGTCCTGAAACTAGCTCTTATAGACCAGGCTGGCCTTGAACTCACAGAAATTCGCCTGCCTCTGCCTCCCGAGTGCTGGGATTAAAGGCATGCACCACCACCACCCAGCCATTCTGTTTTTCCAAAAGTTTCATTTTATTGTTTTATGTGTATGGGTATGTTGTCTCTATGTATGTCTGGGTACCGTGTACATGCAATGCCTGAGAAGGCCAGAAGAAGACGTGTCTGGAATTACTGGTGATGTTGATGCTGACAATCCAATTTGGGTCCTCTTGAAAAGCAACCAGTGTTTGTAACCTCTGAGCCATTTTTCTAGTCACTATCCAAACATTTTTTTTTAATATTTTCTTTGTTATTTATTATGTGTACAGTGTTCTGCCTGCCTGTACACCTGCAGGCCAGAAGAGGGCATCAGATCTCATTACAGATGGTTGTGAGCCATCATGTGGTTGCTGGGAATTGAACTCAGGACCTTTGGAAGAGCAGTCAGTGATCTTAACCTCTGAGCCATCTCTCCAGGCCATATCCAAACTTTTTTTTTTTAAATTTCGTTATTTTATTACACACACACACACACACCAGAAGAGGGCACCAGATCTCATTACAGATGGTTGTGAGCCATCATGTGGTTGCTGGGAATTGAACTCAGGACCTTTGGAAGAGCAGTCAGTGATCTTAACCTCTGAGCCATCTCTCCAGCCCCATATCCAAACTTTTTTAGTTGTTGTTTTTGTTTGTTTGTTTGTTTGGGTTTTTTTGGTTTTGGTTTTGATTTTGGTTTTTGGTTTTTCGAGACACGGTTTCTCTGTAGCTTTGGAGTCTGTCCTGGAACTCAGTCTGTAGACCAGGCTGGCCTCTACAGAAACAGAGATCCGCCTGTTTCTGTCTCCTGAGTGCTGGAATTAAAGGCATGTGCCACTATGCTTAGCAAGATATATTTTGTATAGATCTGTTTGCCTGTCTCTTTTGAAGCTTTTCCTTATATCTTTAATTCGTCCATGTTGCTGTCTATATGGTACGAGTACGTTTACTTTTCCGATTCTGTTTTCTCATCTGAAGAATGGTAAGTAGTACACTTTGCTTGAATGAGCCCACTCAAGCCTCTGAGCTTGGCCAGTCATGTGTGGGAGGAATTCAGAATCTGTCTGTGTTAAAAGTTTCCATTTCTGCTGGGCTATGGTGGCGCACGCCTTTAATCCCAGAATCCCAGCTCTCTGGAGGAAGAAGCAGGAGGATCTCTATGAGTTTGAGGCCAGCCTGGTCTACAGAGCTAGTGCCAGGACAGGCTCCAAAGCTACATAGAGAAACCCTGTCTTGAAAAACAAAACAATACAAAATTTCATTTCTGATGTTGAAATGTTCCTGCTGGGGAACATTCATCCCCAGTGGAGCCACTCTTTCCTGGGCCTGCTCTGCTGTGGAACTCTGTCTCATAAGAACCTCGAAGACCCTGCACTGCTTAAAACCTAGCTTATTTGTCTGGGGCTTTGCTTTTATTGAAACTTGTTTTTGTTTTGGTCTAGTTTTTGGTTTTGGTTTTTTGATTTTCAACAGCCCTGACTGGCCTAAAAGTCACTGAGTGCTGGGAAAAGGTTTTGATTTCTTGAAACAAGTTGGCTTGGAACTTTTGATCCTCTACCCTGTTTCCTGAGTGCTGGGATTACAGGCCATATCTCTAGGCTGGGTTTTTGTTATGTGGGTGTTGCTAGGTGCTATACCACTGAGCTATTCTTTCACTCTCAGAAACTGGAGCCTTTGAATGCTGTGTGAAGGCCAGCCAAGTGAGTAGTGTGGTTAGTGTTTGTCCAGGAGCTACTGGATTTGGTTGATTTCAAGTACCTTGTCTCTGCTCATAGGCCCATATATCACAAGGTATTTGCTCCCTGCACCTGCACCACTCCTATCTCTACCCCTTTTCTGAACCATGTTTTGCAGCAGTGGATGGCTAGACTCAAGGCAGCATTAACTTCCTCACCGTTTATTTTCTGCTATGTTTTAGGAGATGATGGCTTCCTGTGTCCTCCTGCACACTGGACAGAAGATGCCTCTGATTGGTCTGGGGACATGGAAGAGTGAGCCTGGCCAGGTGAGGGATTGGGAAGAGGAGGGAAACTTCTTGAGTCTATGTCAGAGAGTAGGAGAGATTTGCAAGAGGGGCCCTGTATTTTCCGTAGTAAACCCCTATTGTAAGGCTAAGGGTAGTGGGAAGAGATGAGAAAAGAAAGGACAACCATGAATCCTTAGTTTCCCTAGCTAACTCAGGAGGTACTGAAGCCTTAGAGCATCTCTGCATCTCTCCACATTGTTATGGCAGAGTTGGAGTCTTGCTCTGAATCCCCATATATTACTTCCCACCCTGTGTTGTGATTATGTCTCCTGTCCTACACACTTAGCTTTTGAGAACTGGCTCTTTCCCAAGTGCGTATTTTGGAGTTGGGAGCATAGTCAAAAGCTTGGGAAATTACTTGGTCAACTGTATAGACAAGAGTTAAGAAAGATTTTTAGCTGAATTTTTGTTTTGTTTCATTTTTCAAGACAAGATTTCTCTGTATAGCCCTGGCTGTCCTGGAACTAGCTCTGTAGACCAGGCTGGTCTCAAACTTACAGAGATCTGCCTGCTTCTGCGTCCTGATTTCTGGGATAAAAGGCACTGAGGCGAACTTTCTTTCTTTCTTTTTTTTTAATTTTAGATTTTATTTATTTTATGTTTTGTTTATGAATATGTTGCCTTTGTGTATGTTTGTATACCATGTGTGTACCTGGTGCTCACAGAGGTCAGAAGACTACATTTGATCCTCTGAACCAGAGTTACCAAATAATTGTGTTTCACCTTGTATATGCTGGAGACTGCACCCAGGTCTTCTGGAAGAGCAGCCAGTGCTCCTAACTACCAAGCCATTTCTCCAGACTTGAGCTTGAACTTCTGTTCCTCCTGTCTTTATCTTCTAAGTGCAGATTTACAGGCATAAGCCAGCATACTCTGTTCATTCAAGAGCTCAAATTTAAGACTTCATACATGCTACACAAGCAGTCTACCACCCGAGCTATATCCCTAGCCTAGAATCACTTTTCATCTTTCTCCTCTGACCTACATGGGCGGCCTTAATATAATCCTTCCCCCTTACCCGCTTCGACTAGTGTAACTGAAATCTCCTTTTCCCTCCGGCAGGTGAAAGCAGCCGTCAAGCATGCTCTTAGTGTAGGCTACCGTCATATTGATTGTGCTGCTGTCTATGGCAACGAGACTGAGATTGGGGAGGCCCTGAAGGAAAATGTGGGACCAGGCAAGGTGAGAATTGGGGAACACAAAGAAACGGGATATGAGAACAAAGCTGAAGCTGGAACTTGGTCTTGGATGAGGGAAGCTGGCGTCAGCTCCCAGCATGTTCAACTTTTTGACATTGTCATCTGTAAAGTTCATACTTGAGAATTACATGATGGCATTCAAAAGAAAACCTCATGTTTTAAGTTTATGATTTTGTTTTGGGTCACATTCTGGGGCATACTTCTGTTCCTCTCTCATAGGTGTGGGTAAGTAAGACTGGGTGCCCAGGGTTCTTCTCACAGCGGGCTCTGCCTCTGTCATAGGCAGTGCCTCGAGAGGAGCTGTTTGTGACATCCAAGCTGTGGAACACTAAGCACCACCCTGAGGATGTAGAAGGTGCCCTTCGGAAGACACTGGCTGACCTCCAGTTGGAGTATCTGGACCTCTATTTGATTCATTGGCCTCACGCCTTTGAGTAAGCCTTGCCTTTGCAACTTTTTCTGGAATTTGGGGATTGGGTGTGTAGTGTTAGTAATTTATCATATCCACAGCTGCAGAACGGGGTAAGAACACTTAGCTGTGCGACAAGCTTATGTACCATGGCATCCTTTCCTTTTCTGCAGCCAGGTGCTTAGGTTTATAATAAGGAACACTTAGTGTATACCGTGTGTTTATATGAGTGGTCTCTATCTAGTACTCTGTTGTTCAATCAGGAAACATGCTGTTCTTTTGTAGTAGGTCCCCCAAGATTTTGGCTATAAATGTCTCTCAACAGAGGGTATGAGATGTCTTGCATCAGCATTATGCTCTTGTCAGGTGTACAGTACTCCCCCTGAGGAAGATGGCATTAAGGAAGTGTACTAGAGAAAAGGAGATAGACTCTTGGCCTCTGAACCAGGCATGGTGTCGAATGTCTTTAATCCCAGCACTTGGGAAGCAGAGGCATGCGGATCTCTGACTTTGAGGCCAGCCTGGTTTATAGATTTAGTTCTGGGACAGCAGGTGCTACACAGAATCCTTGTCTTTAAAAACCAAACCAAACAAAACAAAGACCCAAAAATACAGAATCCAGGCCTATGAAAAGGAGGAAAGATGGGCTTTCCATGTAGATGTAATACCTGAGTTATAAACTAGAAGGATGAGAAAGCATTGCTGTTTCTTTGTCACTTCATCCCTTGGTCTTATGGTATCGCACATAGAATAGCTGGATGAGCAGGAAGGGCAGAAGCCCGACATTTTTGCTGACACTTAGGGGGCTCTGTTTCACTCAGGCGGGGAGACAATCCCTTTCCCAAGAATGCCGATGGGACCATGCGATATGACTCTATCCACTATAAGGACACCTGGAAGGCTCTGGAGGCACTGGTGGCAAAGGGGCTGGTGAAAGCACTGGGCTTGTCCAACTTCAACAGTCGGCAGATTGATGATATCCTCAGTGTGGCCTCTGTGCGCCCAGCTGTCTTGCAGGTGAGCACTACCACAGAAGAATGGGAGGTGGGTTGTGTGTGCAGAGCATGGGTAATCAGGTAATGGATCTCCTCAGTGGAGACTGCAAGTTGTCCAAGTGTTGAGGAAGGATTTGAAGTCCTGGAAGAACATGAACCCAGCAGTGCAAACAGTGGGGCTAGAGGTCCACAGTGGAGGGCTGCTGCACCAGAGTTTGCTCACCATTTCAGGTGGAATGCCATCCATACCTGGCCCAAAATGAGCTCATTGCCCACTGTCAAGCACGAGGCTTGGAGGTGACTGCTTATAGCCCCTTGGGATCCTCTGATCGTGCTTGGCGCCATCCCAACGAGCCAGTCCTGCTTGAGGATCCAGTGGTCTTGGCACTTGCTGAAAAACATGGCCGATCTCCAGCTCAGATCTTGCTCAGGTATGGGACATTTTTAAGGTAGGGGAAAGGCCTGATTGGGTGGCAAGGACTGAGGAAATTGTTCTTCTTGAGACAGGCTGGCCTGGAACTCTGTCTAGACCAGGTTGGCCAAGAACTTACAGATCCACTTGCCTCTGCCTCCAGAGTGCTAGGATTAAAGGTATGAGCTACCATACCCAGCTCAAAGGGCTCTTTTTTTCCCCCTTAATTTGCCTGAGTAGGACTGAGGATTTTGCCATATGGTCTGGAGTGAGGCTACTGTGAGGCATGTCATCTATTCTAATGCGGCTCAGGTGGTCTAGGAATTAGGGAGGGAGGGATGCATTATGGTTAAAATGTTTCGAATACTAATTCATTTTCCTTATTTTCATTCCCCACCCAGATGGCAGGTTCAGCGGAAAGTAATCTGCGTCCCCAAAAGCGTCACTCCTTCACGTATCCTTCAGAACATTCAGGTACTTGGTCATTAGGTTCTGTCTTCTTTAATCTCACACCTTGAATTCCAGCACTCAAGGAGGCAGAGGAAGGCAGAGCTATATGAGTTTGAGGCCAGCCTGGTCTATCTAGAGTGAGTTCCCAGGACAGCCAGAGATACACAGAGAAACCTTGTCTCGAAAAAACCAAAGAGAGAGATGGAGATCTTGCTCTGATTCTGCCTGCTAAGAGGCTGGTATTGAGAGACTCAGGCTACACTCACAAGGCTGATTTTTCTGTCCCCCCAGGTATTTGATTTCACCTTTAGCCCCGAGGAGATGAAGCAATTAGATGCTCTGAACAAAAATTGGCGGTATATTGTGCCCATGATTACGGTAAAGATGTGTAACCATCCTGAGTCAGGGAACAGGGAAGAGGAGTTTTGGGGTGTGGTGGCCCAGGTGTGACTTCAGGCCTGCTGACTGGAGAAGGGGCAGAATGTTGGTGGGATTGCTACTCAAGATGCATTGCTTGTTTCTCTTTGCTTCCTCCTTCCCTGTCTTCCTTTCCTCTTTTTAAAAAAAAATTTTTTTTGAGACAGTGTCTCACTATATTGCCCTAACTGGCCTGGAACTCAGAGGTCTGCCTGCCTCTGCCTCCTCCTAAATGCTGAGATTAAAGGTGTGAGCCACCAGGCCTATCCCCACACACACACCCTTTTTTTTTTTTTTTGAGACAGGGACTTAACACTGTCGTTCTTGCTTTTGTGCAGCTCAGTATGTGCCTCAGGCTGGCTTTGAACTCCTGCCATTCTTCCTGCCTGATTTCTCTTTCTTTCCCTTTGCCTTTCTGTTTCCCTTTCTTTCCTTTCAGGCATATTTTACACTCCATTCTCTTGCCTCAGCCTACCAAGTTCTGGGCTACACCAAGCTCTGCTTCAGTGGTCTCATTCTCTTGAAGTTGGGGAAAATTAGTGTGATTCAGGTATAATGGACATAACATGTGAGTCTCAGTCCTGCTTCCTGATGATCTTGTGACCTATTTAATTTCTTCAGTTAAATAATAAGAGAGGAGCTCAGGGGGCTGGAGAGATGGCTCAGTGGTTAAGAGCACTGACTACTCTTCCAGAGGACCCAGGTTCAATTCCCAGTACCCACATGGCAGCTCACAACTGTATCTGTAATGCCAGGGTCAAACACTTTCATACAGACATACATACAGGCAAAACACAGGTAAAGTAAAAATAAATAATTTAAAAAAGATAACTTGCCCTCATGCCACATTAAATTAGAAAAAAAATAGAGAAGAGCTCAGGAAACATTTTCAACCTTGTTGAAGTCTGCTACATATAAGGAAGTAAACAGATTGTAGCCACATTATTCCAGCTGATACTACAAAGTCTTAAGGGTAAGGTTAACTGTGTACCAGGCTGTGGGTTTGATGGTGGAGTCACTGTCGATGTAACATTAACTGAGGCTTGGGTCCTGCTGATGTCAGCTGTGGTAGTGCTATAGATAGGTAAAATTCTTCAGAAGAACTGGAGGTAATGCCATGGATCTTGGGAATGTTAGTGTTTGCTAATGCATTCATCTGTTCGTCTCTCTTTTCAGGTGGATGGGAAGATGGCCCCCAGAGATGCTGGACACCCTCTGTATCCCTTTAATGACCCATACTGAGGCCGTCATTTCCCAGCTTCCCTTTCAGCTCTCCTGCTAAGTGTTGCCTGCTACGCCTAAGAAAATAAAGCAATTGGAGCATATGCTTTGTTTGACTTGACTTACTTGTTTTGTTAGGCTTGGGAGGGAAGTTGTTGTCCTCAGGGACAGCACAGATTCAGGATTGTTGCATGGGACTTGTTTGAGATAGGATTTCTCTGTCTATCTTTAGCTGTCCTGGAACTCATTATGTAAACCAGGCTGGCCTCGAACTCACAGCCTTCTGCCCGCCTCTGCTTCCTGAGTGCTGGGATTAAAGGCGTGTGCCACCATGCCTGGGTAATATTAATATACTAGTTTAAAAGGCAAAACTTGAATTTTTATCATTCCCTACCCCAATCTGTGTCAAAATTTAGGATTAGGAAGAACCCCCAAAATGTTTAGGGATCTTAGCTTACAGAATTATGAAAGATGGGGATCTGCTTTTTTTCTCTTGGGTACAATAGTGAGTGTGCATAGGCTATCCAAAGGAAGCAAGTGTCAGGTCCAAAGCTTGTCACCTAAGACAGTAAGTACCTTATCATTCCATCAGAGGTCACTAATAGATTTTAGGAAGGATTTTGGTGACTCAGAGTGGCTCTAAGTCTATCCATATGGTGCCTCAAAGTTAAAGCATTTTTCTTCCTTCACTGATAGTATAAGTGCATGTGGATTAAGAATAGTGCTCATCCCTGGGGATATAATATAACTAAGGTATGCAAGTCCCTGTGGTCTACCTGAGACAGACTTTAAGTAATTGCATAATTAGTTTAATTATAGTTGGAAGAAGTGCATCATGAGAAACCTACTTATTTAATCAGCCAAGATCTTAAGGATGAATAGAGATTAATTAGTTAAAGGAGGTGAGAGTCAGAACAACATTCCAAATTAGACAGCTTAGGGAAAAGCTTTGGAATTGGAAGGCATGGGAAAAGCCTGAAACAGGTGTGACAGAAACAAAGTGAATACAGAGGTGAAAGGAGGCAGAGGACAGTGCCAGACTGGGAGGAGCCTGGTAATAAAGGGCTTGATGAAGCTGTGTTAGAGGGGCTGGGAGTGTGGCTCAAATGGTAGAATGCTTGCTTAGCAAGTTTGAAACCCTGAGTTTGATCTTCACCACCAAATAAAGTGAGTGTGTGGTTGAACACCTGTAGTCTTAGCACCAGGCAGGCAGAGCCAGGAAGATCAGAAGTTCATGGTCATTTTGTAAGTCAAATGTACTTGACATTTAAGTAGTCAAGTTTGAGGCCAGTCTGAGATTCCATAAGACCTCCCCAAAAATTTTAAAGAATCAGACTGTCAGAATGTCCAGCGAGGGCCAGAGATATATTTTAACAGTTAAGAGCACATACTACTCTCACAGAGGACCAGAGTTCTAGTTCCAACTCCCATGCCAGGTAGCTCACAATTACTATAACTTCAGGTCCAGGGGGATCTGATGCCTCTGGACTCTGTGGCCAATGTACACTTACAAGCTCATACACAGATATATACACGTAATTGAAAATAAAATAATTATTTAAAAAAATGCTCCAGCTGGGCAGTAGTGGTGCACACCTTTAACCCCAGCACTCGGGAGACAGACAAATGGATCTCTCTGAATTCGAGGCCTGCCTGGTCTACAGAGCAAGTTTCAGGAACATTCTAAAGCTAGAGAACTGTCTCAAACAAAGCACTCCGAAGTATGGTTCAGTGAGTAGAGGTGCCCACTGCATCCTGAGTTTCATCCTTAGATCCCGTGTGGAGGTGGAAGGAGAGAACCGTCTTCTATCACTGCCTGGCCTACACTTCTTATTTTTTATTTATTTATTTATTTTTTGAAGAAGAAACTTGGACCCAGATGGAAAGCAGCAAAGTAACATGAAGAGATGGAGAAGATCTGCATCTGTCTGCGTTTCTGTTCTGTTGCTGTGAAGAGACACTATAGCAAAAGCAACTTAAAAATAAACTTTTAATCGGTGGCTTGCTTATAGTCTCAGGGTGAATCCAAGATCATCATGGTGGGAGACATAGTGCTGGAGCAGTAGTAGAGTTGGAAGCAGAAAGTGAGTGAGGCTGGGCCTGATTTGGGCTTTTGAAACCTCAAAGGCGCTACTAGTGACACCTCCAAGACCAGACCTCCAAATACTTTTCAAAAGTCCCACAAACAAGAAACTTGAACAAATACCTGAGCCTATGGAGGCTGTTGTCGCTTAACCCACCACATCCCTGTATTAGTTCCTCTTCACTGTGCTCTGACCAAAGGAACTTATGGAAGGAGGGGTGTGTTTCATGGTGGCAAGCATGATGATGGGAGAATGAGGCAGCTTGCTCACATCTGAAAGATTAGGAATTGCTAATTAGACAGTAAATGGAGCTGGCTATAAAGCTCAAGGTCCTCTTCCCAGTGACCCACTTCCTCCAGTGAGGCACCACTTCTAAAGATCCCAGGATCTTCCACAGCGGCACCAAAAAGCTAGGAACCAAGTGTTCAAACGAGACTGGGAACTGTCTTCGGTTCTGTTGCTTTCATAACGCACTATGACCAAAAGGACCTTGGGGAGGAAAGAGTTTTTTTCAGGTTACAACTCTCAGGTCATACTCCATTTCTGAGGAATCAAGGCAGAAACCTAGAAGCAGGAAATGAGTCAGAAGACATGGAGAGGTATGACTTACTAGGGTCTCCCATGGCTTGCTCAGCTTGCTTCCTCATACGGGCCAGAACCACTTGCCCAGGGTATACCACTCACAATGGGTTGTCACCTGCCCATATTAATCACTAATTAGCAAAATGCCCTACAAGCTTGCTTAAAGGCAAGCATTATTATTTTCTTTCTCTTTTATTTTTTTTTTTT